GCGCAGACGATCAACACGTGAATCTTACAGTGACAAATTGTTTTCCAGAGTTAATCCAATAAAATGTTGATAGTAGCTGCTTACAAACAATAATGGTCTACTTATTCACCACTAATAAAATGTACTAGCGGGACCTGTGGAAATACCATATGTAATTAAAATGGCCTATGTAATCAATAAACGAGGATTTGTAATGTTATTCCATAATAATCCCAATGTTGCCTGTGCAATGAATTATATAATATATACAATTACAATCTGATGTTCTTTCTCACATATTTATTACATCGCTTCCCATTCTTATTGTTTATGACTAAATATTTGTTCATGAAAGAACAGACTCCTTTTATCAAATGTTTGACCTTAAATTACTGAGAATCATATCATAAAAGTCTTACTCGAAAATGAATTCTTTCCTAAGCAATAGGGTTGTTGTGATTCTTCTTTCCCTCCTTCCTTTCTCCACATCTCCCTCTCCTCCTCTTTCTCTCCCTCTTTTATCCTTCTAACTCTCGCTTCCTCTTTGCCATTTCTTTTGTCTCTCCATTTCCTTCTCTGCCTCCCTCTCTTACTTCCAACTCTTCCTTATTTTCACTCTTTCCCTCCCACTTTGTCCTCAAGTTCTACCCCTCCCACCTCTCTCCTCCCCCTCCCCCCACCCCCCCTTCCAACCCCACCTCACATTCTTCTCTCTCTTAATCCCATTCCCTTTCTCTCTCCCTCCGCCCTTTTCTCATACCATCCTCCCTCCCCTTCCTCTCCTGCCATTTCCCCCTCTCCCCATTTCCCTCCCCTCTCTTTAAGACCCTTTTCCCTCTCTTTCTACCCCCCTTCTTTTTTCGTTAGGTCCCCCTTCCTCTTCCCCTCCTCGCCTCCTCCTTCTTAGCTTCCCCCTTGGGTAGCTGTGTAAATACTAAATATTCACAGAGGTCTAGATACTTCATTGCAGCGTGTACTTGCCTTACACTCAAAAGGTGATTCATTCAGATCGAGTGAAAGAATGGACGAAACACAAGCAGTATCATAACATAGGTAGTAATGATGATGAAGATAAAGATAGTGATAATGGTGATGATGATAATAGAGTTAGAATTGGATTCTGATTGATTCGAAACGGGGAGCCTTTAAGTTTATGTGTGTGGGTGATTCTTTGATGTTTGTGCTAATTATCACCCAATTTTTCATCAAAATGAAGCGACTTGGACGTTGTAGTTAAATGAAATATAATTACGAAATGTGATTTCAGGCAGAGCACACTTTAGTTACATGTTACATGATTTTGAAATGCTACATCTAGGATAAAGTACAAGCGGACAGACAGACGTTTATAATGAAGATTAATCATAAGCAACGGTTGTGAGGATGGAAAGGAAATTTACATAAATCTTGTAACTATAGGCATTAGATGGTCGCCATTGCAAGAGACGGGTTCCAAGTCTCATCTCATTAAGGTTGAGGTAAAATTTGTGAACAGATCGTAATGCTTTCATGCGTGCGTGTGTGTGTGTGTGTGTGTGTGTGTGAGTGTGTGTGTGTTTGTGTGTGTGGTGTGTGTGTTGTGTGTGTGTGTGTGTGTATGTGTGTTGTGTGTGTGTGTGTTGTGTGTTGTGGTGTGTGTGTGTTGTGTGTGTGTTGTGTGTGTCTTCCAGTAGCATCAAATATGGATGGGAAATGAAAACATATAATAAGTAAAAAAAAGAAAAAAAAATCCATGCTAGTTGGAAAGGAGGGATTAATGGCTGTATTGACCAAATACAGCATACTCAGGAATTCAGCGCGAAATTAATCCTGGTATATATTGACAATATTAAGAGTGAAGTTCATTTAAATTATCCTTATTACTTAGCAACCTTGGCACACAATTAAATTCATTAAACATAACGAAAAGAAAACCAAATTTATGTACTAGCAGAAAACGAAATGATTCCATGGGTTGACTGTCTTGATTCTGTCTGGGTCTCATATATAATATATATAATATATATATATATATATATATATATATAATATATATATATATATATTATATATATATATATATATATATATATTTTTTTTTTTTTTTTTTTTTTTTTTTTTTTTTTTTTTTTTTTATTCATGTGTAGTGAAAATAAATAACACAAAGAAATAATTCACCTATTTATCCTATACAATCATACTATAAACAGGAATTTTGATAAACCTGAAATTATGTCTCAAGGACCAATGTACAGTGACGGTCAAAAGTTATATCATGAATTGGAGCTTCGAACCTGCCTTACCCTACTAAAATCTTGTGCGTGTAAAGTGTGTATGTGTGAGTATGAATATGAGTGTGAGTGAGTGTGTGTGTGTGAGAAGAGAGAGAAAAGAGAGAGAGAGAGAGAGAGAGAGAGAGAGAGAGAGAGAACTCGAGAGAGAGAGAGAGAGAGAGAAGAGAGAGAGAGATAGAGATAGATAGATAGATAGATAGATAGAGAGAGAGAGAGAGAGAGAGAGAGAGAGAGAGAGAGAGAGAGAGAGAGAGAGAGAAAGAGAAGAGAGAGAGTATGAGCTGATTTTCGAAACGGAATTCGAAAAATATCTGAAAAGGATTTTGACCGTAATTGTAACTTCTGTACTCACACTCTATAGAATAAAACCAAGGCACCTCAGGAGTCATATCAAGACTGCGAAGTCATGCTACCCCCATTAAGTGTAATCAAATCAAATTGGAGGATTTTTCTCGGGGTTCCCTTCAAGCCCCAAACCCTATAGATGTTGGCAGCTACACGGAAAATATTATTTCTTGAACAAATCTTGCTTAATTTGAGGGTCATGTAAGGGGCAGTGGTTGTTATTACAGTCATTATAATAATGATATTTCGAAAAAGAAAGTAAAGAGATAGAGAAAACATAAATTTGAAACTATGCACTATTAAGGAAAAAAAAAATAATTCAAATAACAAACGATAAACCACAATAACTAAAAGTATAAGCCAAAGAATCACGATTCCATAACACAATAGAACTCATCTGCAGCAAATAGATAAATAAATAATAAATAGATAAATTAATTAATAAATATAATAAATAAATGATAAGATAAATAAATAAATAATAAAATAAATAAATAGATAATAAATAATATGAATAATAAATAATAAAAATAAAAAAAATAGATAATAAAATAAATAAATAAATAAATAATAAAGTAAATAAATAAATAAAATAATAAAAATAATTTCATAAATAAGATAATAAAATATAATAAATAAACAAGTAATAAAATAAATAAATAATAAATAATAAAAATAAAAGATAAATAAAATAATAAAATAAATAAACATAAATAGAAATAATAAAAGATAAATACACACACACGAAAACACAGCCACCCACAGCCCCCAATTGAACCAAGCAACAAATCCCCCCCCCCCCCTCCCAACACGCCACCCGGTGAACCCAGAGACCAAGAACGAACCCCCAAGAACCGAACCCTCAGAACCGGACCCCCAAGAGCCGAACCCCAAGAACCGAACCCCTAAGAACCGAAACCCCCAAGAACAAAACCCCCAAGAACCGAACCCAAAGAACCGAACCCCCAAGAACCGAACCCCCAAGAACCAAACCCCCAAGAACCGGACCCCCAAGACCCGAACCCAAGAAACCGAACCCCAAAGAACCAAACCCCAAGAACCGAACCCCAAGAACCGAACCCTAAGAACCGAAAACCCCCAAGAACCAAGAACCCGAAGAACCGAACCCTAAGAACCGAACCCCCACCCCCAAAACCAAACCCCCAAGAACCGAAAACCCCCAAGCCCGAACCCCCAAGAACGAACCCCAAGGAACCCCAAGAACCGAACCCCTAAGAACCAACCCCAAGAACCCCGACCAAGAACCCCCAACAAGCCGAACCCCAAGAACCGAACCCCTAAGAACCGAACCCCAAGAAACCAAACCCAAACGACCCCAAAGAAACCGAACCCCCAAGAACGAACCCAAGAACCAAAACCCCAAAGAACCGAACCCAAAACGAACCCCAAAACCGAACCCCAAAAACCAACACCCCAAGAACCGAACCCCAAAAACCGAAACCCCCAAGAACCGACCCCAGAACCGAACCCAAGAACCGAACCCCGAAACGCCCCAAGAACCAAAACCACCCACAGGAACCGAACCCCAAAGAACCAACACCCAAGAAACCGAACCCGCAAGACCGAAACCCCCAGAACCGAACCCCAGACCGGAACCCCCCAAAAAAACCCCAGAACCGACCCAAGAACGAACCCCAAGAACCGAACCCCCAAGAAAGAAACCAAGAAACCCCCAAGAACCAAACCCCAAGAACCGAAACCCCAAACCAAACCAAAACCCCAAGAAACCCCCAACCCCCCAAGAAACGGACCCCCAAGAACCGAACCCCAAGAACCGAACCCCAACCCGAACCCCAAAACCCCCCAAGAACCGAACCCCAAGAACGAACCCCCTAAGAACTGAACCCCCAAGAACCGAACCCCAAAACCAACCCCCAAAACCGAAAGAACCCCAAGAACAAACCCCAAGAACCAAACCCCCAGAACCGAACCCCAAGAACGAACCCCAAGAAACCGGACCCCAAGAACCGGACCCTCAAGAACCGAAACCCCAAGCCCCAAAAACCCCCAAGAACAAACCCCCAAGAACCGAACCCCCAAGAACCAAACCCCCAAGAACCGAACCCCCAAAACCGAAAAAAAAAACCCCCAAGAACCGGCGACACCCCAAGAACCCCAAAAACCATCCCCAAGAACCGAACCCCCAAGAACCAAATCCCCAAGAAGCGAACCCCAAAGAAACCGACCCCCAGGAAGGAACCCACAAGAACCGACCCCCCAGAACCAAATCCCCAAGAAACCAACCCCGAAACCAACCCCAAGAACCACGCATGGAAACCCCCAAGAACCACGCTGGAAACCCCCAGAAGCCACGCTGGAACCCCCAAGCACTCCCAAGAACCACGCTGGACCCCCAAGGCACCCAGCTGGAACAAAGAACTCCCAAGAACCACGCTGAAAACCCCCAAGAAACCAAACCCCCAAGAACCACACTGGAACCCCCAAAAGAACCACGCTGGAACCCCCCAAAACCACGCTGGAACCCCCAGAAACCCGCTGGAACCCCAAGAACCACGCTGGAACCCCCAAGAACCACGCTGGAACCCCCAAGAACCGAACCCCAAGAACCACGCTGAACCCCAAGCTGGAACCCCCAAGAAACCACGCTGGAACCCCAAGAACCACAACCCCAAGAACCACGCTGGAACCCCAAAAACCACGCTGGAACCCCCAAGAACCACGCTGGAACCCCCAAGAACCACGCTGGAACCCCCAAGAACCACGCTGGAACCTCGGAACCGAAGGTGACCGCATGTGGCGCTCATTCCCCCTCGAAGTGGGAATGAGCGAAGAAGCCGTAAAAGTTTCACACTCGGGTCGTGGTTTTTATCGCTTCCCTTCGAGGCGCGAAAGGCATCGTGTGCGTCTTGGCGTCCGAGGGCCTGCGGTTGTCTTGGCGAAAGCTCGTGTGCGTCTTCCGCTCGAGGGCCTGCGTGTCTGAATGGCCTGAAGCAGAAAAGGTCTTGGAACGAGGAAGAAAGGGAAAGAGACGAGGGAGAGATAATAAGAGGGAAAGATGAAACCACGCTGAAACCCCAAGAACCACGGCTGAACCCCAGAACGCGACCCCAAGACCAAACCCCAAGACGAACCCCCAAGAACCGAACCCCAAGAACAAACCACCAAGAACCGACCCAAGAACCCGCTGGACCCCAAAACCACCTGGAACCCACCTGAACGAACCACCTTGGAACCCCAAGACCGAACCCCAAACAAACCAAAACCCCAAGAACCAAACCCCCAAGAACCGAACCCCAAACAACCCAAAACCCCCAACAACCCAACCCCCAAAAACCACCTTGGAACCCCCAAAACAAACCCCCCAAGAACCAAACCCCAAGAACCGCAACCCCCAAGAACCACGCTGGAACCCCAACCCCAGCCCCCAAGAACCACGCTGGAACCCCAAAGAACCACGCTGGAACCCCCAACCAACCCTGGAAAACGCCCAGAACCACGCTGGAACCCCCAAGAACCACGCTGGAACCCCCAAGGAAGGACGCTGGAACCCGTCCAAGAACCACCCCTGAAGCGCCCTAGAACCACGCTGGAATCCCCAAGAACGCACGCTGGAACCCCAAGAACCCACGCTCTGAAAGAACCCGCGAGCTGGAACCCCAAGAACCCCGCTGGAACCCCCAAGAACCCCGCTGGAACCTCGGAACCAGGAATGACCGCATGTGGCGCTCATTCCCCCTTGAAGTGGGAATGAGCGAAGAAGCCGTAAAAGTTTTACACTCGGGTCGTGGTTTTTATCGCTTCCCTTCGAGGTGCGAAAGGCATCGTGTGCGTCTTCGCGTCCGAGGCCTGCGGTTGTCTGAATGGCTGAGAAAAGGTCTTGGAAGGAGGAAGAAAGGGAGAGAGAGAGGGAGAGATAATGAAGAGGGAAGATGAAAAGAGATAAAGAATGAAGAAACGAGAGAGAGAGAGAGAGAGATAATGAAGAAGAGAAGATGAAAAGAGAGAAATATGAAGAAAGGGAGGGAGAGAGGGAGAGATATATGAAGAGGGAAGATGAAAAGAGAGAAATAATGAAGAAAGGGAGAGAGAGAGAGAGAGAGAGAGAGATAATGAAAAGGGAAGATGAAAACCACGCTGAACGCCGCAGGAGAACCACGCTGGAACCCCCAAGAACCACGCTGGAACCCCAAAGAACCACGCTGCGTGGCAAACGGCCCCAAGAACTCCCGCTGGAACGTCGGAACCAGGAATGACGCAAATGGTGGCCGCTCATTTCCCCGCTTGGAAGTGGGAATGAGCGAAGAAGCGTAAAAAGTTGAGACACTTCGGTCGCTGGTTTTTAATCGCTTCCCTTCGAGGTGCGGAAGGCACTCGCTGTTGCGTCTTCGCGTCCGAGGGACCTGCGGTTGTCCTGCATGCTGAGAACAGGTCTTGGAAGGAGGAATGAAAGGGAGAGAGAGAGAGAGAGATAATGAGAGGGAAAGATGGAAAACCTCGCTGGGAGACCTGCCCCAAGGAAGCACGCTGGAACTCCACTATACCGTCGCTGGAACCAACCGCAAGAACCTACGCCTGGACCCCAAGAACCACCCTGGAAAGCGCCAAGAAACAACCTGGATACCCCGCAATAACAGCCTGGAACCGGGTCGGACAAGACCACGCATGAAGACCCCAAGAACCCACGCGTGGAGAAGCGAGAGGCGGTGCGTCTGTCGCGTGCCGAGGGCCTGTTGGTTGTCTGAATGGCTGAGAGAAGGTCTTGCCAGGAGGAAGAACAGGAGGGAGAGAGAGAGAGATAGCATGAAGAGGAAAGATGAGAAAGATGAGAGAGATGAGAGGAAGATGAAACAAGACGATAAATGAAGTGGAAGAGGGAAGATAAAAGAGTAAGATGAAGAGGGAAGGATGAAGGAAGAGAGAA